CCGTTCGGATTGTGAGCTATCACATACATACATATTTACATACATACATACATACATACAATGCAGCCCATCGAGATTTTGGGAGGTGCGAGGGGAACACATTAATTGTCTCCGGGCCAGGAGATGTAACAAGGGGCATCATGTTTCAGCGGGGACCTTGTCATGACGGTAGGTGTGATTTACTACGTATTAGGGGTCAATCGGTTTTGTGGAGGAGGAAGAAAAGTTCCATTGCGAGGGGGGGAAAAAAAGGAAAAAAAAAAAGGAAAAAAAAAGAGGAAAAAAAAAAGGAAAGAAAAAAAGGAAAGAAAAAAAAGAGAGAAAAAAAGGAAGGAAAAAAAGAGAAAGAAAAAAAGAAGAAAAAGAAAAAGAGAAAAAGAAAGAAAGAAACGCCTAAACTACCTAACCTAGTGTGTCATTTTGCCATTGCTTCTTGTCCCTAGAAGAATTTGCCCCTGTTGTTTTACCTGATTGCAATTCCGGTGACCCTCCGCTTGAGAAAAGGAAACACCATTTATTTTTAATTTTTTTGGTTAAACCGAACAGAAAGGAAGTTAAAGGGAGGGGGGTAAAGAGATGTCGAGCATGAGGGGGGTGGGTTGTGTGCATGTTGGGGGATATATTTTTTGTCTGGTTGCTGATATGTGCTGTGTGCGGAGAGGTTCGGGCATCGGAAGGCTATGTATGTCAAAGTGTCTCATAAAGACTGACTTTGGACGTGCGTGGGCTCTCTACATGGTCTGCTCGCAACGGTGTCAGAGGATAAGCAAAGGTGGATGTGATCGAGAAAGTAAGCCTACCTGAGAATGCTGAACCTGCTGCTGCTGTTGAGCAGCCTGGAACATCCCGGCATAAGCCATCTGAAATTGCTGCTGCTGGTATACCCATTGCGCATGAGCCTGTGCCTGGGCTTGAGCCTGGGCAGCTTCGTTCGATGCCGGTTGTTGTGCCTGAGGACCATAGTAGGCCGGCATCTGCGGGAATCCCCAGTATGGCATACCGGCTACCATACCAGGCTGGACGGGCTGGAAGTACGGCTGAGGAATGGATGGGACGGCGTAGAGATGCGGTTGAGACCAGGCTGCTTGTTGTAGTTGAAAAGCTGCTTGGGCTTCTAGAGAGATAGGGCTTTGTTGTTGTTGTTGTTGTTGTTGTTGTTGCTGCTGCGGGTGCGACCAGGCTTGTAGATGACCTTGAAGTGCTTGTTGGGAATAATACCCCGAGTGGGCTGGTTGAGGTTGTGCCGCATGAGCTACTTGAGGCTGCCCATGATACAGGGCAACTTGAGCCTGGTGCCCCCAGGTTGCTGTCATCGAGGTGACTGGCTGTTGTTGGGGGTTCAGTTGCGCCTGAAGGTGCTGGTGTTGGGGGTGTTGCTGCGGTTGTGGCTGTCCCATCCAGCTGACTACCCCATACGGCCCCGGCTGCATCATGGCCCCGGCATTGCGAGGAGCTGCTGCGGCTTGGTACCCCCAAGCTGCTGACTCCAACGTGTGGTTACGTGCCGGGGCCGGCACACCAGGGGGTTTATTGAGAGCCAGCGCATCTTCGTGGGTAACGATCAAGACCCGATCACGGTCGAACGGCTTGACTATCTGCACGGCTCCTGTGCCACCAATTCTGTATCCAGGGTCATCGACCTTGATGGGACGACCCCTGTAGTGAGTAATTGCCAGCCATCCTGCCCGAAACTGGTCAGCATGCGTTCTCTTTCTCGGCTCAACAGGAGAGGCCTTACTCTTGCAATTCTCGAACTGGCTAAAGCCGACAATCCGCACCCAGCCCTTGTTCTTCTGTTCGCCCTGGATGCCAACAAAGACCTCTGACTTCTTATGAAGTAGAGAAAACACAAAGTTACGAAATTCTCGAGCGTCGGTTTGGTCAGGCAGCTTTCAAAAGTCAGTTAGGATTCGCATCGAAAGGGTGGCCAAGAAGAAAGAAGACTTGCATTAGAAACGAGAATGTAGAAAGGTCCACCAGCCGGGTCACCGGCTCGAACCCATACCGGAGGGGGATCAGCTGGAGGAGAAGAGATTGCCATTGCGGGACCAAAACAGGCAGATATCACCAGCAAAAAAGTGCGAACAAAGACTACAGCGAGAGAGAAGATGGAGGAGACAGGTCCTGGGCAGTCGGCCCTTCCCCCAACTTTTAGTACTCGACCCTCATACAGGGTGGTCCCTAGGGCAAACTGAGACAAACTGTAGTGCGCAGCAAGCCACAACTCTGGAGCAGTCGGACTCGATTCCCCAAAATGACTTTCTTTTTTCTGTGACTTGCTCGCATGGGGGTGGTGGGGGGGGGGGGGTCGGGTGTGTGGTCTTTGATATGGACCGTGCTTCTCGAGACAGAGGGTGGGGGGCGTCCAAGTGATCCCCCAATTGGATCTTCCCCCACAACCTTTTCTTCCCTGGCTGATCTGGCGGATCGACGCTTCCACTACTAGAAACGACTAGCCTGGCAATGTCGAGCTAGACTTCTAATGATGGGGTCCAAACTCGGCACGACTCTCAAAAAGCAAACAAAGTGTGTCAAGCCTCTCCTACCAGAGCCTGCGGGTTTCTCTCCCCCAAGTCTGCTCCTGTTCAAACGAGAGAACGAGAGAGGCAAGCAACCCTGGAACCACCCAACTCCTCACAGCCGTGTTCGATGTGAGTGATCGAAGTGGCTGGCTACAGAATCCAATCAAGGTCGAGTCCTTGCTGCAGTTCTAGCCAAGCAGAGACACCAGCAGCCAACGGCATGACAAAGCTTCTGTCCAAGGAAGCGGGGTATTCCCAAACCGGGCACGGCCAGAGAGGCGGCTGACCAGTTTTGATTCAAGGTTTGCTTCTTCTCTCTGGGCTGAGTAGAACCCCGCGCTGGTTTGCAGCATGTGTTGTCGAGCAGCATGTATTGTCGAATTTCTTTTGTATTCCGAGCGCGCAAGAACCGGTGGTTGGGACGGAGAGTAGGATCCGACTTTGGGTAGCGAACTTGCCTGTCCTGCATCTGTGGGCCGCTGGCGGTCAGCAGAAGGGGGCCCGGGCTACGTGATAGGGTTCCAATATCTAATCTCATCGTGCAGATGGGACGCTGGATCGTCGACGGGCAGGAAGAGGATCAGTCCCCGCAAATGCCAAACTCGGTGACACTTGCATACGGATGTCAGTGAGCCGTCGAAGCTTTTTTTTCTTTCTGACTCTGGCTCAACAATCTATCCGACCGCGGGTGAAGCTTCCGATCCCTTGCCGGTTGTCGACATGTTAGGGCAGCCTAAAAGAACACAAGATGGGATTGCCTTGCTTGTTCGAGTATGCCAGGATGACCAGTCACATTCTCCCTCCACAGTGCATGATGGCTATTGTTTTGCTGCATGCTTTCCAGCTGCCGGGCTTGCTATCAGTGTTTGCAGGCAGCAGCGGGAGATGTCTGAGGTCTCGCTGAGTTGGCGTCGAGGTCCTTCGCATTCGCCCTTGCTTCGTATCTATTTTCTGACATTTTTTTTTTTTTTGGAATGTTGTCTTGGTACAGAAACTAAGACAAAAAAGGGGGCGTGTTGTACAAAGCCCAAAGCTGATGGATGACATTGCACAACAGGTGGAAGATCTCACGTGGGAAGTTTTCTGAAATTCCGAGGTGGATTTCCAAGAGGAATGAATATCAGGGTTAGGGTCTGGCACTGCTGCCCCGCGCTAACACCTTTTGGGGTTTAATGTCAACAGATTGCCGGCCGCGCGCTTTCGAGAGCGCATCGCGCACCTTCATGGCCAGCGCAACTCTCGAACAGAAGACAACCACCAACCCTTTTGCAAAAAACACGACGGGACAAATTCGTTTTTTTTTTATTTTTTTGATTTTTTTTTACCAGAGATATCAGAATTTTAACAATTACTCAAGGCCGCAAAAATGGGCCGCGCCAAATCCCCAACCAAAGCGTCACCCCAATCGCTCACCCACCGCGCCAACCACGCCCTCACCCAACTCCAATCCCTCGTTCCCTCGGCCTCCTCAGCCTCGGGATGAAGAATCCCCCATAACCATCATCCGCCTCTCCGCCCCGATAATCTCGTCCGCTTCTTCGTCCGAGACCCCGTCAGCAGCTCGCACCTCTGACATCTCCAACACCTCTCTCCCGCCCTCGGGGTCAACCCTCTCCTTCCTCGAAGGCCGACCTCCTCCACTACAAAGAACTCTTCTCCAAACTCCGCTTCTCCTACGTCGAGCAGGTCACCAAAGAAAAGTTCATACGCGCCATCGTCGGCGACCCGCCCTTGATCGTCACGCCCCAGGAAAACGCCGAGCTGGAAGACAGCAACAAGGTTGCCAAGGCGGAGCTGAAGGCTCTCAAGAATGAGGTGGCGGACATGGTCAAGGATCTGGAGGCGAGGGGGCGGGAGCTGGCAAAACGTTACGAGAGGGTCAAGACGGAGACTGTCCGGCTAGGGGAGCTGCCGGGACGAGTGGAGGGGTTGGAAAGGGAGATTGCGAGGTTGAAGGAGGAGCAGCAGGTTGGGGAGGGATCGAGGGCAGAGCTGAATTTGCCGCTGGCGAAGACGCTGCAGCTTGTGGGCGAGAAAAAGAGGCAGATGCAGGAGTTGGATAGGCAGTTGGAGCAGCTGAGAAATCAGGCTCCACGGAAGAGGAAGGAGGTGGAGCGGTTGCAAGGAGAGGTGGCCGGGCTGGAGCAGAAGAGGGGGAATGCGATGGCGGCGGCGAAAGAAGCGAAGAGAAGGAGGGAGGATAAGGGGGCCAGGAACGGGGTTGATGAGCTGGAGGCAAGGGGACGGTGGTATAGGGGGAGCGAGGCTGTTTTGAGGGGGTTGCTGGGGATTCAGGGGTGAGTCGCGACATAAGAAGGCGATGGCTTGGAGTCTTGGGAGTTTCGGAATCGGGATGCGGGTTAGATACCAGGTTGGGATTTGTGTCGTGGGCGCTAATGGTATATATATATCTGGCAAAAGCAGTCGTCTTGAGCATTCCACTCTGGGATATTGTAGAAAAACCATCAGCAATTGTGTATTTTCCCGGTCTTGAGCCTCAGGTCGTTTGTAGTAAATATTGCAGGGCTGTTCGCGAGAACTGGATGGGCAGGTATACTTGAGGACTGCAGGCTTCAAGACCCAGGCGAACGTTGAATCTAAAGACAAAGCTCGCGGCTAAAGTCTAGGCATCATTCAGCGCTGGTGTGCTCTCTCGACGTCTCCTACCAGTTTCGAGAGAGGCATCCGGATAAAGTGAGCGGTTTGAGAGGGGCATCGTCACCACAAAATAGTTGACACACAGGTAGGTTGCTGAACCATGCCTTTCAGTTTGAAGGATAATCACTAGGCTATTAAAGATAGTTGATATGCCTTTAAGATGGTGAATGGGACTCTAAATATAGCAACAAAGCCTTTGAATAAAGATATTTAGAATGCCCGATAATCTATCTACCTTTTGAGGTATGGTTCATTTTTTAAAAATAAATATGGATTAACTTCACCTTTCTGTTCCACTTATTTTGTTATTTTGTGGTGAGAGTGAGGGGGCTATGAGCACCTCAGAGGTCTGTTCCCTCCAATCAGTCAATCCACTTTTTCCATGTGGTCACACTCAAGACATCAACGTCCAAGTCTCATTTGAAGTTGTTTCAACTTGCCAACATCCTCATTTTACTTTGAATTCACCTTCCCGACATAATTCTGACTTTGGCAAGACCATTGCTGTTCAAGTTAAAAGACCAAAAATGTCTCAGCTCTGGTCTTCACCCAAATCCCCTGCCACCGCTGGCCCAGTCCGCCGGTTCGGTCAGATCATCAAGCTTAAACCCGAGCACGTTGCCAAGTACAAGGAGATCCACGCTGCCGTTTGGCCTGGTGTGTTGGAGCAGATCAAGGCTAGCAATATCAGAGATTGTAATCTATTCCTCGATGTGTTCTACACACGAGCAACCGAGATCTAATCAAACCACAGACAGCATCTTCCACGATCCAGACAGCGGAATCCTTTTCGCCAGCTTCAAGTACATTGGCACCGACTATGACGCGGACATGAAGAGGATGAGGGAGAACCCAAAGGTGAGGGAGTGGTGGAAGTTGACGCACAGCCTCCAGGAGTCTCTTGTACCGGGGGCGAAGAGCAGTTCAGACGGGGAACCGGCTTGGTGGAAAGGGGTTGAGGAGGTGTTTTACACTCCTTGAGAGGGCCCGTGTTGCTGAGGATTAGCTGTGAGATATCAGCTGTCACCACACTTCTGAAAAATCAAAATTCTCGCCGCTCTGATGATTTTCTTGATGTTGCATGTGTCAGTTTGCCTGGCTGGCTGCCCAATGTCGATATTCAAAGCCTACCACTTACCTAAACGCTTCTATTCTCTCGGCCCAGACTGTTGGGGGTCAGCCGTTTCACAACTATTTCGACTTGCCAAAGAAATTGCTGAGGAAGTTGCCCCCGCCACCACCCCGACTGCCGTGTCTACGTGCCTCGGTCCTCATCCACTCCTCCAGAAACTGACGGTTGGCCATCTTCCTGGCATCCGTAACCTTGGTCTCGACTTGAGCCTCCTGGGCGTCGAAACTGAGAAGAGTCGGGAGGGCACTGATCATGTAGGTCATCCCCAGACCCGCGCTCATGACATCTGGCGCGTCGTACTCGACTTCGCAGTAGCCCACCCCGCCCTCAGCCTCACCGACACCGGACTCGACGAGCTCCCGGATGAGGGGTTCTACGACTTTGCATGTTGGGCAGTACGAGGCTGTCCACATCGTCAAGAGAGGCGTCCGGGATGATGCCGACAGGAGTTGGTAGGTGTGAAACTGGTCCGGGTTACGAACGCTACATGATTCGAGCGAACGAAACAGATTGTCAAAAGATATTCCCCCAAAGTGGTAAGGCCACTGCTCCATCGGCACCGTTGGGACATGTGGGGGAGATGCATGAGGTTACTCACGAGGCATAAACCTGGTTCTTCGCACCCACCTTGGGCGATGTCGAGAAGTGAACGCGTGAGACGGACAGCGGCTCTTCTATGCATGCGATGACGGTCTTGTAAGACTTGGCCCGAGGGAAAAGCCGCCCGGCAAGGGTCGGTCGAAGAAGAAGGGTGTGCATCCTGCTCGCTGGGGCTCCTCAATGATGAGAGACCGAGACGGGTATCATCGAGATAGCGACAAAACTGACCAAGTTTGTCAGAATCTTGTGTTTTTCATGTCTGAGCTTGACTCGCATATCGGAGCTATCAAAGAAACCGATGAGCTCATGGGACAGCTATCAGCCCCCATGCCCAACGACAGGGATCATCATTGGCCCGCAGCCCAACTTCTCGGCACTGGGGCGGGTGAGGCGGGGGGTGGCTGCCGCGCTCACAGCGGCTTGTGTGCACCACCAGATGAAGCTGGCGTCATTCTGCATGGGAGACCTTGTCCAATGTTTTCCCATGGACCGGCAACGACCACCACTCATTGCCCGTTGCGGTCCACTGGTCAGACCATACGGGAGTCGCCTGCCGACCGACGCTTCAAGTTATTTTGCTCTCTTTGTTGCCATCTTCTGACAACCATTAGCTAGCGTCTTATTATCGACCCTGCGGGGAAAATTCGAGGTCGCAGGAGACTCTGCTGTTAGCGGGGGTCGGTGGAGTATCCGGGGAATCACAAGGGACCAAACCCCCCGCCAAGTAGCCCAACACACTCCACCACCTTTCAGAGGGACCTTGGGTGACCGTAAAGATGAAGACGTCCCGGACCATCAACAGGTGCTGATCCTTCGGGCCTCCCGTGCCATTCGTAGAGTGTCAGCAGCTGCTCTTTAGAGGTGCGTCCAACTGGCAACCCAATGGCCTATTCCCTGATTTCAACCTCTCTGCTCAACAAGCCTCTCGGTGAGGATCCGGACACAGCTGAGGACACGTCGAGAACGACGAGACTTCACTGGTCGGCCAAGAGGGCCCGAGAGGTTCTCTCTCTCTCTCTCTCTCTCTCTTGATAACCAAGGGTTCTTGTCGAGCACCACCTTGGCCGTATCTTGGCACACAATCCATGTCATGATGAACCGAATCCGTAGCGGTGCAGCCTTCTTGAAGCAGTTCGCCGGCTCCACACATCTGACGCTGGGCACGGCGCGTTGTGTCTGTATATATCGACGTCGCCGCTTCCTTCCATCGCGTCCGGCGTCAGTTGATCTCCAGATCTCTCATTCTTCAAACTTGCAAGGTCAGACCAACGACAAGCGGTCCCACTCTCCCCGCAAAGCTGCAGGCATCAAAGCCTTGCTGCTGGAAGGCGCTGCACCTCCTACCCTCCCGCCGCCTGCCCGTCTTGGAGATCAACGCGACTTGGGGGGAAGCCCTTGTTTCTGCGCTGTCTCTTGCTTGTCAACAGACGCCGTCTAATACCTCCTCCAGCTTTAGAAGACCAACTTCCTCTCTGAACCTCTTAGCCTCTCTCCCTTTATTCTTTTTTTTAACTTTTCATCCTAAAAACCACCTAAGCAGCTTCACCTGGCACGGCATATCCTTCACCTGTTTAGACCTAGACGCTTGGGATGGCAAGCAGCTCGGGGGAATCACCGCAGCGGCGAAAATGGTTTTCGCGCAATTCATCCAATGGGGAGGGTTCCGTTGAAAAAAAGGGCCCAACAAGATGGACGATGGGAATCCTGGAAGACAAGGAGACGATCGAGGTTCCAGGTATGTCCCTTACAACGGCTTTCAAGCAAGTCTGGTTGCTAACACCGCTCCTAGGCTCCGTTCTCTTGCTGGCCCCTGATCACAACGAGCCGCTCGGCTTGAGGAACGCGCCCGCAAGAACATCTCATTCCTCTATTCCTGTCGGTGTCCTTCGCCAGGTCACCGAACCACCGCCTCCGGCAGAGGACCCCAAGAAGAAGACCAAGGATGGGAAAATCATCTTGGACCCTCAGCCTGATGATTCGGCCAATGATCCCCTGAACTGGCCGGTATGGCGAAGAGACTCTTCGCTTCTCTCTCTCGGGCTCTACTGCCTCGTTGGTGGAGGCATGACGCCCATCCTGGCCGCCGGGTTCACCGACGTTGCCAGCGATTATGGGGTAGATGTTCACACCGTCTCCCTCACGACAGGTCTGTACATGATGGGTATGGGTCTGGGCTCCGTTGTGTTCTCTCCAACTGCCATCTTGTGGGGAAAGCGGCCAGTCTACCTGTTCAGTTCCGTCCTGTTCATTTTGACTTCGGTTTGGTGTGCCTTGTCACCAAACTTCGCCTCGTTGGTGGTTGCCCGTATCCTCCAGGGTGTCTCCGTCAGCCCTGTCGAATGTCTTCCTTCCGCCACCATTGCCGAAATCTTCTTCCTTCACGAGCGCGCATTCCGCATCGGTATCTACACTCTGTTGTTGCTCGGTGGGAAGAATCTGGTTCCTTTGGTCAGCGCTGCCATTATTCAAAAGTTGGGATGGCGATGGGTGTTTTGGTAAGTCCATCAGCATGCGTGTCCTTCGAGTGCGGGACTGACGCCTTGTTCTAGGATCGTTGCCATCATCGTCGGGTTCTGCTCGGTCCTCTTGTTTCTTTTTGTCCCCGAATCTTTCTGGGACCGTGCTCCGCATCGCAGAAAGAAGTCCAGACCAAACTTCTTCCGCCGCTTCTCCTCGAGACACGATGTGGCTCACCCGGGGGCTCATGCCACCCCGGCTGTCACGCCTGCTCCGCAATCACCAATCACGGAAGCTGTGCCTTCACCCGAGCCTCCGAAAGCCGCGACCAGGGCGCAAGTCGGTTTCGCTCCGGAGCCCGAGTACCTAGATTCGGAGCCCCGCGAGAGAGCATCGCAAGACATCCAACGACCCCCAACTGCCCAAGCCCCTCCTGCGGTTTCAGAGTCGGAAAAGCCGGTCTCCGACGGCCCAGCCTCGAGAACTCCTCACGACACCGATAGTGAGTCGCTTTCGAGCTCTCGGTCCGGGCGAGAGGCGTACACGACCGTCTTGCGCGGCGCACCCCCGAAATCTTTTGTTCAGCAGCTCAAACCCTTCAATGGCCGCCTCAACAAGGACAAGTGGCACAAGGCTGCCGTCCGGCCTCTGATTCTTCTGTCGTATCCTGCCGTGTTGTGGTCATCGATCGTGTACGCGTGCTCGGTCGGATGGCTTATCGTGATATCAGAATCTATGGCCGTGATATACCGAGAGGAAGTCTACGACTTTGACGCCCTTCAGACCGGTCTCGTCTACATCTCTCCTTTTATCGGTGGTGTCCTCGGAACTGCCGTGGCAGGCAGAGTCTCGGATGTCATTGTGAAGGCGATGGCGAGACGCAATGGTGGACTTTACGAACCCGAGTTCAGACTCATCATGGCTCTCCCCGTGGCCATCACCACGGTTATCGGCCTGATGGGTTTCGGCTGGTCGGCCGAGGTGAGAGATCACTGGATGGTGCCGACGGCATTCTTTGGCATAATTTCCTTTGGGTGCTGTTTGGGATCAACAACCAGCATCACCTTCTGCGTCGACAGCTACAGACAGTATGCCGGCGAGGCCCTTGTCACACTCAACTTTTGCAAGAACATCTTCCATGGTCTTGTTTTCAGTTTGTTCGTCACCGGCTGGCTGAGCTCGGACGGACCGAAGAAGGTGTACATTTGGATTGGTGTCATTCAGCTTATCCTGCTGCTGTTCACCATCCCGATGTATATCTATGGCAAGCGGGCGCGCATGTGGACGGTGCGGAAGAACTTTATGGAGAGGTTCTAGGAGAGCATCGAGCGGAGAAAGCAGGAGAGGCTTCATGTCAACTTTCAAAAGGTTGGACACAGGAAATCGGAATGAGACTTTTTTTTTTTGGGGGGGGGGGGGGAGGGTTTGTTTTTTTTTGGCGTTTTTTTAAAGACTTTCGTTTTATGACCGTATGGTTTAGTGTTACTGCATTGCATTTGCATGGCCGGTTTTTTTCTTTCTTTCTTTATGGACTGGGCTGGGGGTTTGATGACTTTTTTTAAACGGTCTGTGTTCTGGATATGATATATGATACCAACATGGCTTTAGCACTCGTTAGAAATACATTTATATGATATATGTTGTACATTTATAATCATACTATCTTTGAAGATCGTGTTGTGGTGGTGTAGGTTATCAAGGTCCCTTCTCCACTTTGATGCCCCTCTCCCCCCAACTTCTACCATCTCTTCAACCCCTCCAACATTTTTTTTTTGGGTCTTTAAACACTCCATCAAACCCGCCATCACCAGTCACCACCATATCAACCACGGCAATGTCGACCACAACCCCCCACCTTTTGGAACCCTACCTCTCCCTGCCCCGGGAAACCTCCCTCATTGTTCTCAGCTCCATCCTCGGCGCATCGACAAACTGGCTGTGGCGCGGTACATCCACTCCTACCTCAAAACCCCCAGCGTCGAAGGCGAGCCAGAAGTCGCGGTATTGCTGGCGTCCTTCCTCCGAGACTACCCCTTCTTCCAGCAGACCCTCTCCAAGCTCTCGCTCGACCTCGACTCCGAAGCCCGAAAGGGCAGGTTCGCGTTTGTGGATGGGTTGACGGGCTTGTTTCTCCCGTCCCAGCGGTCCGGGGGGAGGTTGCAGGACGGGGATGATCTCCGGGCGGTTCAGAGACAGATCGGAGATGCCCTGGCGGGGTTGGATGCGGGGAGGAAGAGGAGGGTGGTGCTGGTGCTGGACCAGCCGGATTTCTTGGTTGCGAGTACTAGTGCTGGCGGTGGGGAAGGGGCTGGGATCGCGGTGAGGGATGTCATCTTGGATCTGAGAGAGGTTTGTCTTCCCTTCCCGCCGCCCCCGGTCCCTCGACCCTCGTGGCCATTTGGCAAGGGAAAAAAAAAGTTTGTGGATGGGGCTGACAAACAATAAACAGAAGGTCCACAGCTGCGTCGTTACCGTGTCAGCCGACGACCCTCTCGTTCACCCTCCTGTCGCTCCCACACCCCTCGAGACGAACCACTCCTGGTTTGTGCTGTCACTGCTTCACGAGGCGGACATGCTGTGCGCCCTGAGGCTGCTGGACACTGGCACAGCAAAGGATGTCAGTGGGGTGGTGAGGATCACCAGTTCGAGGGATGGCGAGACGGAGGACAGAGAGTATCTTTACAAGGTTGGGGGGCATGGCGGTGCCAAGGTCTTCGAGAGGGGGCAGTAGATGTCACGGTATGGCAAGTAAATGGATGAGATGCTCATGGCATGACTAGTCATTGGATGATATGGTCCAGAAAGGCATAGCAAGCACGCACACATATGACGCAAGCGAATGATGCCCAATTTTTGACAGCAAAACCGCCGCCCAAGTAGCTGAGAGCACAGCGTTCCAAGAGACAACCGGACGCATGGAATATGGCACGAGACGCCCAATTCCAATCATCAATCATGGACAGCACCAGAGGACATCATGAGCCAGCACCAAAGAGGTAAATACAGGAATACCGATTTTGAACCCCTTTGCGCCCGACTCTTGGGAGCGTCTGCTGGGCTGTCCCAGTAATAACAAAGAAACACCTTCACGCCTTTCATAAACCGTCTGCCCTTGATGCTGCTTCATCACTTCTTTTTGCTTGACTCTCGTGCCCATGGATAAACTGGTCTGGATGGTAGTTGGTTCGTCGCGAGTGCATTCGCGATTTTTGTGTGTCTGTGGTTTTATGACCCCAATTTGCCCGCCGAGATGCATACCATTTGTGATGACTGAAAGCAGCAAAGCATAAAAACCGCGAGCATGGTTTCCCCGTCCGGAATAAATTTGTGAATCCCAGCGCCCGTTTACACCGCTCGCCAAAAACGACCCGTCCCGTCATCCACGTTCCAGCCCATCAATGCCCGAAGACGACCTGCTTACTCGGAAGCGGTGTTGGGACCCCGCGAGCCCTTGGGGACACCAGTCTGGAAGCCGTTCTTGAACTTTCTGGAGATGGTGCTGAGGTATCTCATGCGGCCGGTGCCGGTGACCTTTCTGCGCTTAGCCTTCTCGGACCAGTTGTCTGTAATACCCCGAACGTCAGCAAGCCGTTCCCTTTTCATGCCGTCTCGAGTGTTGTTGGCAACGTACACTTGCGGGTCTTAGCAGCGGGGTAGCCGCACGAAGCGCAGGTGTGCTTCTGGTTGTGCATGGAACGGCGACTGTTGAACACCAATGTCAATATCTATTCGTCATCCTCCTCTCGTTCCTCCTCGTCGGCAATCGAATCGTTCTCTCGTCCGGTTCGTCGATGAAGGGCTCGTGAGGACTTACCCGCAGCGTCTGCAGATCCCGTGGGTCTTGTTGTGGCTATTGATGAGAGTCAGCAATGAATTCCGCCTCACTCCATATCCCAATGTCGAAACATACCGCTTGCCAAAGCTGGAGGTACCCTTCGCTGTTGTCGAGAGTCAGCATAACCGTGACCAATCCCGTACGCAATGTGTAGATGCAAAATTTCGGCCACGGATGAGCCATCAAGGCGTCGAGGACATCGGCATCTTGAGTCGAGGATGCATTTCGATATTTCGGGGATGGGTGTGGTGTGCTCAGGTATCGCAACGGAGGGGTGGGAACGTACTCATTTTGGCGGTGGATCTGGAAAAATTGTCGAGTTAGAATTGAGAATTGGGGAGAAAGCTACTTCTTGGTCGATTAAACGTACCTGCGTCGTCGTCGACAAGAGGGAGCTTTGTGATGGGTTGCAGAATCTCTCGCGGTTCCGGGGTCGCGAAATTTTGGGAATCTGTGTGGCCAAGCGTTTTCCTGGTTAGGGCTGCGGGGGCCACCAGAACAGCCACACGTGGCTAGTGCGAAAACCACACGGCGCAGTTCCAGTCCGCCAAGATTTCTTCGCAGCACACATGGCCCCCATATTATTTCTGGGCTAACTGATAAGATAAGCATCACTCGGTCTGGGTGGAATCAGGGGCAGCAATCATCACAAGTAAATGGAAGATTGTATTCTATGGATGATGAGTATTGGCAAACACTACGAAAAATTCCTTTTGAATCCCCCTTTTTTTTTTTGTTTTCTTAGAGCTTGAGTTTGCTGAACTCGGCGAGTGTCCGCTCGTAGTTCTCCTTGGCCGCCTGTGCATCGGCAAGCTTCTTCTTCTCAGTTGTTACGACAACATCACTGACCTTTTCGAAACCCTCGCGGTTGATCAGCTCCTCCTGCTTGGTAATTGCGACGGTGGTCTTCTGCAGCTTGGTGGTGATCTTCCTGATCTCGGCTGCGATATCTGTGATTTGGTCGCTGACCTGGAGAAGAACAACAATCTCGGCGTTCACGACACTAACAGCGCAGCCCTTGGGGGTGGCGGACTCCTCGATAACCTCGGTGGAAGCAATGCTCCTGCCGGAGAGGGTCTTGATGGCGTTGAGCTGCGCGCTCACCTTCTCCAAGGCGGCAGGAGTAGAAGCCACGATGAAGGCACGGCCATCACGAATGTTGTATTCAGCAGCCAACGATCTGATACCGCTAGCGCACTTGAGACCAAGCTCGTAGTCTGCGCTCTCAGCGGGGAACTCGAGAGCCGGGTCAGCCTCGGGATACGGCGCCAGGAGGATGGAAGGAGTCTCATCTCCAGCCTTCCGTGGCAGACGCTGCCAGAGCTCCTCGGTGATGAAGGGAAGCATAGGGTGCAGTAGACGCAGGCACGTATCAAGAACAAAGTAGAGGACTTGGCGGACAGAGTTGGCTTGGGCAGGGTCCGCATCTGGGCCCAGCATGCCCTTGCTGTTCTCAACGAAGATGTCGCAGAAGTCATCACTGTGTTTGGTTAGAGGCTCTGTCTGAACTTTGACCCAAGGGAAACCGTTGACTTACTAGAAGAGCGAGTACACGAGCCTGGTGGCAGTGGAGAATTGCCTGTTCGTGAGAGCCTCGTTGATGCCCTTGACGGCCGCGTTGGTACGGTGAACAATCCAGCGCTCTGGGACCGACAGAGCCGCGAGGTCAAGCTGGGCATCAGGCTTGAAGGAATCGCCAAGGTTGCCCAACACGTACTTGGAAGCTTGCCAAACCTTGTTGCAGAATCTGCGGTAGGCCGCCATGACGCGGATGTCGAAGTTAATGTCGCCACCACCGGTGGTGTACGAGAGAAGCGTGAAACGCAGAGCATCAGCGCCGCACTCTGGGATGCCGCCAGGGAACGATTGCTTCTGGTACTTGGTGGCACGCTCAACCTCGTCAGACCTGAGGTTACCTGTCAAGAGCTTCGCGTGAAGGTCCTCGAGCTTGATACCGTTGATGATGTCCAACGGGTCAATGACATTACCCAAACTCTTGCTCATCTTCCGCCCTTCGGCGTCGCGGATCAACGAGTGGCAGTACACCTCAGTGAAGGGAACCTTGCCCGTCAACTTCAGGGAGAGCATGATCATTCTGGCAATCCAGAAGAACAGAATATCCCAGCCGGATTCGAGCAGCTCGGTGGGGAAGAACTTCTTGAAATCATCCTTCTCCGTGTTGGGCCAGCCCAAGATAGCCATGGGCCACAAGCCGGAGCTGAACCAGGTGTCGAGGCAGTCAGGGTCTTGCTCGAGGGTGTAGTTCTTGCCGGGGAACAGCTCGGCAGCCTTCTCGGCGGCCTTGGCCTTGGCCTCTTCGGCATTTCTGCCAACAACCCAGGTGGCCTTGTCTGTCTCCTCGCTGTCCTCGCCTTCAAGGACAATACGGTACGCCGGGATACGGTGGCCCCACCACAACTGTCTGGAAATGCACCAGTCGGTGATGTTGTTGAGCCATTGGAAGTAGCTCTTGCGGGCACTCTCCGGGCTGATCTTGATCTCACCACTCTCAACGACTCTCATGGCATCCCTGGCCATGTCCTCCATCTTCACCCACCACTGAGGCGCCATGCGAGGCTCGATAACATCCCCACTGCGCTCGCAAATGGGGATAACCATGGCGTTGGGCTCCTTCTTGACGAACAAGCCAAGCTTAGCCAACTCCTCGACAACCGTGTAACGGGCGTTGAATCTCTTCTGGCCCTGGAACATAGCGCCGTTCTCGTTGATCAAGCCGTCTTCGGTAAGGACGTTGATGAACTCAAGCTTGTGGGCGACGCCGAGCTTGTAATCGTTGAAGTCGTGCGCGGGGGTGAGCTTGACAGCACCAGTGCCGAATTCTGGGTCAACGTAGGAATCCTCGACGATGGGCATCAACCTCCGGGTGAAGGGATGACGGGCGTGCTTTCCGACAAGGTGTGCGTAGCGGGCATCACCGGGGCTGACAGCGATACCGCTATCGCCCAACATTGTCTCGGGACGTGTGGTGGCAACAGTGATGAACTCGTCTGACCCCTCAATTGGGTACTTGAAGTATGTGAGGACACCGAACTCAACCTTTCTGTCATAGCCGGGCACGTCAATCATGGTGCGCCCGGTGATATCCTTGTTGATGACCTCCAAGGTGCTGAGGGCGGTGCGAAGATGAGTGGACCAGTTAACCAAGCGGTTGGACCTGTAGATGAGACCCTCATCGTGAAGAGTGACAAACGCCTCCATAACGGCGGCAGTCAGGTTCTCGTCCATGGTGAAGGCCTCGCGGCTCCAGTCCATGGAGCCACCCATGAGTCTCTGGGCATTGTTGATGCGCTCATGGTATTCCCCCTTCCACTCCCACACGCGCTTTGTGAACTCCTCGCGGCCGAGATCGTGGCGCGTCTTCTTCTCTCTCTTGTACAGCATCTTTTCGACAACGGACTGAGTGGCGATACCGGCGTGATCGCAACCCGGGACCCAGAGTGTGCTGAGGCCCTTCATCCGGTTCCATCGAATAAGTGTATCTTGGAGAGAGTTGGCGAGAGCATGGCCGCAGTGAAGCGCACCAGTGACGTTCGGGGGCGGCAGGGCAATGACGAATTTGCCAGCATCAGGGGTTCGGGGCTCTTGAGGCTTGAAGTAGCCGCTCTTCTCCCACCATGAATACCATGACGACTCGACGGCCTGGGGGTTGTATGCTGAGAAGTGTGGGTGATCGAAGGGCTGGATCTTCTTCTTCTCGCCAGCTAGGGTCTCGTCCTTGTAGGGGGGAAGGACAGGAGTCTCGGCCTTCTTCGCCTTGGGCTTCGGGGCTTCGGCAGGCTTGTCACCGGCTTGTTGCTGTTGCTTCAGCTTGGCGGCAGCTTGCTTCGCAGCGAATTTGGCAGCCTTTTCGGCTTTGGCCTTCTCCTTGGCCTCTTTGGGCATGTCAGAATATGATCAAGGAAACGACAATGGCGGCGCTCGGCGGATCTAGACTCACCATTTTTCTTTGGCGCAGGCGCATCGGGAGCGGCGGCCGGGGTGGTCGCCGGCGCGGGGGCTTTAGCAGCTTCGTCGGCCATTTTGGATAGTCGGTACGCTGAGGAGTGATAGGTTCGAGATTCTGGACGGAAAGAAGCCAAGGATGCTTTGAGCAGCGAGTTCCGTGTCGAACTAACCAGTCGCCACGACGAGCTCAGCATCCAGGCTCAGCGGGGGGGTCAATTGAGTATTAAGAGGGGCGGCAGCGTGACTCTTAACGGGGGGCCTTTCATGTTGGCTGCAGGCTCTTTTTCCATATGCAAAAAAAGGTGGGGTTCCGGCGAGGATTCAACGTGAGTCAGTTGCGACTTGAACCATACCGTACAGAACCCTAACCCGTGTGTAGTTTTGCTTCTCTGTTGCTTTCCGCCACTACTACCCCGCGCGACCTGGCCCCAACTTTGTCTCCCAACACACAAGGCTGGCCGTCGAGTGATTCTGGAACAAATTGTAACATGGACCCCTTTTTTTTATTTTTCCAACATGACCTCCTCAAGCGAAGTTCCAAATGCCCAAGCATTCAAGCTTCTCTTACCACAAGTTGAGAATCCCGTCCACCTGTGTGAGTCCTTACTGATAAGTGCATAGCACAGCCCGTTGCTCCACCCCGGATTACTCAAGCAATGAGTATTCTTGCTGACTCTTTTGTGAGGCTTGTAGATTGCAATCCAACACAGAACTGTTGGAGATATGTAAAAATTCGAGAATCAGAGGCACGTGCCGTCAAAAAGGCGACCATCAAGGAAGGAATGCGGGGAATGCTTGCAAGACAGGTTGCCCCACGTACAATTCAGCAGCTGTTCCCGGTCCTATCCGCTGCGAGTGAGTCCGCTTGACCCACGCCACTTTCCAGCTCTCCCTTACCAAGACTGGCCGCTACCCTGTAACTCTAATGCTCTTATCGCTCATTGATTATCTCGTCATCTACAACAACATCAACCCGTGCTCAGCCTTCACCCCCTTTCCCGCCCACCTCGGTCGCCTTGCCTTTTCCTCCTTAACGTGCTCCCTTGACGCCAGTGTTATTTCCCAGGGCTACAGCGGATGACTACCTAGGCGCGCCACGACGCGACGGCTCAAGCTCGCCCGACCCAACGTCCCAACTGCAGCTTGTTTCTAAGCCCTACGCAAGTCCTGGTCAAGAGCAGGCCAGACGCCTCCTTGCGGCCGCTTGCGCTGTGATCATCTACGATGCGACCTCCACGGATCGCGATACTAGTTCTTTTCTTCTCCGCGTCGCTCTTCCTCGTGTGCAGGGCCATCAGTTCCCTCCGCCATCCCAACGCCGCCCCCGCCGTGACACCATTGACGACCCGGAAATCGTCATTCCGGAGCTTCTTCTCCTTCACTGCGCCGTTCTCGCTCTTCCCTCCCAATGCTGCTATAAGCCTGTTCGATGATAATAGTACCTTCTTTGCTGCGCGACCGGCTGCCTTTGGGCCTATCCTCCCTGCCGACGGCCTGAGCGGGCAACTATGGATAGGAAGTGGATTTGCTGAAGATCATCTCCAAGAGGGCGAGGTTGGGGGCGAGCTCGGCTGCAGCGATCTCCCGGGCTGGGAGGATGGGAGACCTAAACTGTCGATCAAAACCACTGTACATGGGTCCGCAGCCTCAAAGTCAGGGCCCGCTGCACTGAACACCAAAAGTACAAAGCGTGATCCTTTGGGCGCAGGGATTCCAGCGGACGGAAAATCTTTAGAAAGGCGTCACGATGGGACCGACGACTACCTTCACCAGGAACTTGACCAGACTCGCAGCCCCTACAGCGAAGGCTCGGTGGTCTCAGCGTCAAGTCATGCCGATATCCAATCCATGCAGGAGACGGCAGAAATTACGGGCAAGATCACATTGCTGAGCAGAGGTGGTTGTGGGTTCCTGGAGAAGGTCAAGTGGGCGCAGCGCCGCGGTGCGATCGGGGTGATTGTCGGAGATAATGTGAAAGGGGGTCCGTTGATCCAGATGTTTGCGAGGGGCAATGTCGATAATGTCACAATCCCCTCGATTTTCACATCGCAGACGACCGCCATGCTACTGTCATCACTCGCGCAACCAGGCAGTTTCATCGAAGATATTCTAGACGAGAACGGAAACCCGATCTTGAAAGTACAGCACTCCAGCAAGCCTGGGGTCAATAAGCAAACCAAAGCGGCCGATACAGGTGCGGGCCATAGACCCAAATCTGGCCCTCACGCCCAGGGGGTCAAAACTGCGTCGTTCCAGGATGCCTCGGCCCCTGCGGTCAAGAAGTCACGCTCGACACGCAGGAGCTGGATCTCCCGTCTGTTCTCCTGGGGGGATAGTGGAAGCAAAGGGTCAGAGCAGAGCCGGCCGCCAAGCAGTGGTCGTCTGAACTGGGTCGCAGCTGACGAGTGGAGCGACGAAAGCATCAGACTCCTCCAACCAAGTGCGGATAAGGGTAACAAGAATGGAGCGGGTGGTCTTGCGTCCTCTGAGGAGGACAAGTCGCCGGGTGATGGTTTTCAGATAGGTGTACAAGACTGGCGTGACCCCGATCTTGTTAGGTCTTCCGAGGAGGACGAGGAAGATCGGCCGGCGCCGGAAAACCAGTCCACCAACAAGGAGTCTAGTGGTTTGAGAGGTGGCAGTATCACGCCAGGTAGTGGCGAGTATGTCCCTGGAGACTCACATGGCCATCGTTCTGGAAAGTCTGGTTCTTCCTCGGAAAGCTCCAGTGGGCTTATTTATAAGCTCTTCGGGGACGACGCTGAAGAGCAATCTGCCACAGAGGAGAGCTCAAGACCGTCGCCGGGAAGCTTGGGGAACAAAGACGACGGCAATGTGCGGGAAGGCTTGTGGGTCACGATCACTCCTACCGGCAGTGCCAGTCCATTCTTTGACACCCTGTTGGTCCTGGTGATCAGCCCCTTGATTACCCTCACGGTTGTGTACACGCTTCTTATCTTGCGAGCTAAGTATAGAAGGCGGAGATGGAGAGCACCCAAGGCTGTGGTCGATCGGTTGCCGGTACGGACCTACCGCACAGTTGCGCCATCGTCCAGCCAATCATCCAGGACGCCGTCGCCCAACAGCTCCTCACCTACAACACCCCTGTTGCAAGGACATTCGAGATCGCGGCCCCGGTCTCGGACCACCACTGGCGTGCCTGAGCCTTCGGATCTTTTGAGGGCTGATAACGCTTTGCAGGCCGGGCGATCATCTTCACCAGACAACACCCGGGTGCATGGTGCCAGTCAATGGAAGAAGTACATGGGAAGACAGAGCGAATGTGTGATTTGTTTGGAGGAATACGTGGACGGCGTCAGCAAGGTCATGAGCCTGCCTTGTGGCCATGAGTTCCATGTGGACTGCATGTGAGTGGATCTCAAGTCACAAACTAGACGACGTGAAAATTCACAAATTTGACGACGTGTTTACTGATTTTTGTCACAGCACACCATGGCTCACCACCAGACGGAGAACTTGCCCGATATGCAAAAATGATATCGTCAAGTCTCTGGCTCGTGGTTCGCCATCAAGCCCACACTACGAGCCGTATCATGACGACAGCGAGTACACTCGTCCTGAACCTTCCAGCTTCGTGAGCTCCAACACTGGATCGTATTCCTCCAACCGCTTGTCAGACGTGGAGGAAGGAAGAGAGGCTCTTGCGCGAGTACAGAGAGAGATACATGAGGTGAGATGGTATGACTTCATGGCGCACCTACTAAGGGGCGAGCCCGGACAGGCATTTTTGAATCGGCACGAGAACCGGCGTTTTGCGGCCGACGACCGTGAAGAGAGCCGCCTGTAATACAGCATGGTGATAGTGGCATCCGTTGTTTTTTTGAAGAGATTTCGCATTTTTGGCTGGCGCACTTGGGGTGGGAGGTCATTTTCATGGGCGTTGGGCAAGGGGCCGAACACCTGGGATTGTTCAAAACCGACACTCGCTCTTTTACATACACAACTTTGATACCTCTTTTCGTTTTTGACCTGATAAATTTTATCTTTACTCTGATACGTACTTGGAATGTACGAGGAGCCCAGGGAAGGGGGGGGGGAGGGGGTTGGGGTTTTCATTGGAAGCGGCCAGTTACAGGATCCCATCAGACATGGCAGAGTGAACTCACTAGGATTATACCCCCACAAGGCTTAGACACTTGGATAGCTGTAGCTTTCATTTCACAAAGAACTTTTTCTCTTCACTTCTACATCATATCTCCTCTGGCCTCTTTCGATCTCCTGGGACATGGCTGGCGGCTGCTCAGGATGAATCTCGCTGTCCTATGAGAAGATAAAATACAGGGACAGCCAAGACGGTTGAGGCAATAATCTTATGTTCAATAAACAAATATGAAGTGCACAAAAAAAGATGAAGATCATCATGTTTTGCATAATGTGCTGATGTGTATTCTCTCCCAGGTAGATACTGAGTATGAAGTGGGCTTATCTTATCACAGCACACGCTCACCCACACTCCTTCCACAGCGCCCAACGCGTTCATTGCAACTTCTCACCTTCAACATCAGGTAAGTCAGCGAGCGCTTTCCATTTCTCCAGATTTTGACATGGAAAATGAGCTAACAATGGAACAGAGGAGAATTCTATCACTTCAAAACGTATCGAAAAGCTGGTAGTCCGTCGTCTTGTAGCAGACGGGAACAGATTGCATGGTCGAATCTCAAATCTCAATTCACCCCGCCACAGCGCCCTCACCCACTGAGAGGATCAGGGGCCGTGCACAGCACAGCACACAACATCAACGTCAACATCAACGTCAACATCAACGTCAACATCAACGTCAACGTCAACGTCAACGTCAACATCAACATCAACACCACCCGTGTCAACCAACCCCCAAACCCCAAACCCCAAGCGTTCTGAACCTATCCAAACCCCAAGCGTTCTGAACCTATCCAAACAACAACAACAACCCCCTTCGAGGGGCACACCAGACCCATCATGGCCCGCTTCCTCACCCCGGCCAAAATCGGCCTCCTGGCCCTCATCGAGCTCTACGTCGAAGGCGCGGTCCCAAACGAAGGGATCATCCCAGTGATCAACTTCCTCGCCTCCAACCTCATCGACTGCGACCTCTCGACTGCCCAATCCCCCAACAACAACAGCAACAACAATAAGAATCTCACCCCTGCCGACCGCTGGAAAAAAGCCGAGTCCACCCTCCGGCTTGTAACCTCGATCAAAGATTTCGAGACGTTGCTTTCCCCGCTGGCGGCAGCGGATAAACTCCCCGGCCGTCGGCTCTGGGATCGGTTTTTGGAGAAGTTGTGGGGGCTAGACAGTTTGCACAAGCTGCATGAGTTTTTTGCGGCGATACCGGGGTTGTTGTGCAGGACGAAGGAGGAGCTGAGGAGGTTGGGGCTGGAGGACGAGGAGGGGGGGTTGGGGGGGAGGACGAGGTTGGGGAGGAATAGTCCCTTTGGGGCGTTTGTCAGGAGGGCACATGTCGAGTTTGTGAGGTTGAAGTTTGAGAGGGTGATGGAGTTGTGGAGGGTTTTTGTGAGGTATCGGCAGCCGACGGCGGGGTACTGGGCGAGGAGGCATCCGCAGCATGGGGGGAGGTTAAGTTTTGATCAGGTTTTGACGGAGGGAGAAGGGGAGTGGGGACAGAAGGAGACGGGTGAGCTGGCGGTAGTGGCGTATGGGAGGATGTTGTTGCCAGCGGTTGGGCTGTTGGCAAGGGGGGAGGGGGGGATGGAAGGGGGGGAGACGTTGCCGGTGAGCAGCGATGATGTGGAAGGATTATTGGAGTTTCAGATCGAGCAGATACAGAGTGAGTTTGTTTCTCTGATGGGGGTGGAACGGGAGCATGACTGACACCATGTAGAGTATGGCAACAGGATACCGCCACAGATCAGAGACCGGTTCAGGAACTTCTTGAAGGGAAGTCATACGGTGCCGAGTTTATCGCACTACCTCAACTTCTCGGACGCCTGGCGGTCAGGGGACTTTCCGACATCTTTCGACTACCTTCATCGATATTTCGACTACACTATGCAGAACCGAGATCGACTGTTCTATCAGTACGCCTTGATGAACCTCGCTATTGTTCAGTCCGACTTTGGCTGTCACAAGGAAGCCGTGGCAACCATGCTGGAGACAGTATCAACGGCTCGGGAGAACAGGGACACGACATGTCTCAACTTTGCTCTAAACTGGTTCTTCCACTTCGGCAGGGCACACCCCCATCTTGTCAGAGAACTCGAAAACAACAGCATGCTTGGCAGCGGAAAGGAGACTCTCGCCTTCCTCCGAGTCAAGGCCAAAGAAACAGGCATGTGGATCCTCTGGAGTTCGGCCCTCCAGAGCGAAGCCAAGCTCTGCCTGGCCAACGGCGAAAGTGTCGCCGTTGCCTTCGAGCACATGGTGCGATCCTCCCAACTGATCGTCGAGCGCAACATGAAGACCATGATGGGCGCCCAGATCTCGATGGCTATCGCCATGTGGGACCGCCTCGGGCTTTCCAGCATGGCCTCGATGGCATGCCAGGTCTTCCTCAGCTGCCACGCGAGAAACTCGGTCTTTGACGACGAGCTGAAGATCACCTGTCGTCTAGCCGGGCTTCTCGCCGGCAAGGGGAAATACGAAGAGGCGTTTGCCATGCTCGAGTCCCTTGATCAGAACTCGCTGCGGTCAGCGAGGCCAAATCAATACTGGCACCTCTACCGCGGCCTCTTGAAGCTTCGTCGGGACCTGCACAGGAACAACCTCCCTGCCGTCGACACCCTGCTGGCTCAGCTCCTCCAAACTGGCCCCGAGGACGCAGAACCGGACACCGTCTTCATCATCGACACCCTCCATATCGAGGCTCTGGTCCGCCACAGGGACTTTGACGGCGCCTTTACCAAAATCGACAACATGATGGCCAATCTCGGAGAAAACAACCGCGACGTTGCCCTCCGCATTCGTCTCCTCATCGCCAAGGCCCACCTCTTTGACGAGATCAACCGCCCAGAAAAGGGCTTCACAATAGCGATGCGGGCCACCTCGATGGCCTGGCGGGCGCTGAACATCCCGCTTCTGTGGCAGGCCGTCGGCGCTCTGGCCAACGTTTTGAACTCACTGTCGGAGTTCTCGGCTGCGGCGCAGCTGTTGCTTTCGGTGCTGCCGAGGGTGCTGGAGACCGATGTCTCGTTCACAGCGGGGACGTTGTATAACCTCTTGGCGGACGCGAGGATGGGGCAGGCGGGGCAGTTTTTTTGTGCGGCTGTTTCGGACGAGTCGACGGAGCTGGAGAGGCAGAGGGGGAGGAGGAGGCAGAGGGAGATGATGATGAGGGCGCATGCTGCGCTGGAGAGCGCGTACAAGTATTTCGAGAGGGTGGAGGAGGTGGAGAAGCAGGCGGAGGTGCTGGCTAAGATGGCGACGGTGATGAGGGGGTTGGGGGATGAGGGGGTGAGCGAGGGGTATGCGGCCAGGTATTTGAGTTTGAGGAGGGAGGTGGAGAGGGCCAATGGATAGACAGGGGATTGTATGTGAAAATACTGAGAGGGAAGCGAGGCATGTCAGATAAACAATGAAGAACGAAATGTATCATAGAGCTATAATCAGCCTAGACAGGGATATGCTAGTTTGGCCGCAAAAAGCTCTATCCTTGAGCTCAAGCTCAAGCTCAAGCCTACTCCCCTCATTGAATTGACTTTGTGGTGTTGACTCACGGGCAGATATGTTTGTTTGGATGAACTGGCGGGAAACAGAGAAGGTTATGCATCCCCGAGACAGAGAAACTGATTTCTTGACTTGACACTATGAGTAGGAAACAATGCATGTACCGTGTTCAGCTTTGTCAGGGTATGCTCCCTCTTCTTCTTCTTCTTCTTCGACTCCGCACTTCTCTTGAATGGTCTGCCTTCGTCGTTCTCTACAATATACACCGGGGTTGACCTGTCCATATCTCCAGGTTGCGTCGAGGTCAAGAGCACATTTAGGCCTCCTTGTCCTTATTGTGGTAGTTGACCTTGTCATTCCAGCTGCGAGGATGTCATGTTAGCATTACAGGCTTGACTTGGATGCCGTCATTGTTTATAGGTATACATACAACAGGGTCTAGAGGTATATGTTAGTAAGTCTGGTCTGGAGAAAAAGGCGGGTCAAAGGGGGGGGTAAAACATACCTTGTCACCATCGCCCCACTGGTAGTTGCGGGTGCGGATGTTCTGGTAGGGGTACTCGACACGCTCCTCAAGAGGGGGCATGTGAGACCAGTGCTCCCAATGCTCGTTCCAGAGGTTGTAAGCGTTGAGGGAAGCGAGGATGAGGGCGGGAGGGACGGTGCTGCGGGCGGTTGTGTGGTTAGCTTGGTGGTACGTCATGGCTGTTGTTTTGTTTCTCCTGATATTGTGATTTCATGCGTCCCCCGATCTCCAGCTCCCCGACCATGGCTCGCTCTGACTCCTCCTCGTCTTCCAGTTCGTTTCCACCAGTTGTTCTGATATCTGGGAACTGTTTCTGATATCCGGGAGCTGTTCCAACACCCTGAGGGCGACATGAAAACCACGCATTCGGCGGCGACAATAGAGGGGCTTCGGGAGAGTCATACTAGAGGGAGATCTTGCGCCAGAGCTCTGTTGAAACCTTGTTAGCTATCTCGGACCACCAATTGAGTTCCGGGGGGGTAGCCGAGGGTATCGCAGGAGGTACACTCACCGGTGGTGCCCTTGGCGTGCTCCTTGACGTGACGGCGCTCACGGACGAAGGCGTTCTCGCCGGCGTGCTCGGTGCTGGCAAGGCGGCGCTGGGTCTGGTTGCGCAGCTGGGCGGCGAACCGCATAACCTGGCGCTGGGCAATCATGGTGAGTGGCTGGTGGGTTGGGTGCCGTTCAACGAAAGGGGGGGGGGGGGGGGTTCGTGGTGGTTTTTTCGAAGATGAAGCAATTAACCCGCTTCTCGTTGCTGTTGGCCTGGGGTAAGGTCAAAGTCCAATCAGCTCATTTTCGGCTGCTCCTCGGGTTTGTGGCGGTGGTCCGTGCTTTCCGGAGCTCTCTCTCGCTGGGGTGCCAAGACCGGTGACATAATTTCCACTTTGACATCTGAAAGCCGGTCATGTGACCTCGCGCGTCCACGCCACGCCACGCCACGCCACGCCACGCCACGCCACGCCACGCCACGCCAGTCACGACTTTTGGGTGGCAGACCATCTTCAACAGGTGTGAGTTGACGATTTCAAAGAAACAGAGAGAGATGGGATGAACAGGTATCTTATCAATTAAAATTGCCTGTAAATCTCTTCATAGTGAAGGGAAAACCCCTACCACCGCAGTCGTGCCCCCCCGAATTTCCTCTTTTGCTTCGCCTTGTTCAAGTTCGCCCCATCGACCGGTGAATGCAACATCTCTGATTCCCCCACTGGATTGTATCTCTGGCGCCCGTTCTCTCCGGTTCAAGTTCCCAGTCGTTACACCAAATAACCTAGATCTTGGCGTTGGTGCATGCCAATCATCTGAGTGTCGAGATGCCACTTCGAATCACGTCATGGAATGGTAAGCTACCGTCTCTCCAATTCCACCAGTTTCTGGTTCGGTCTAACATCATATACATAGTCAATGGCATCAGGTTTGCACCCGCCTAGTTGAGCCTGCGTGTGGAGATCGCTTGTCTGACCAGCTCCAGAAATCCATTCGGGTATGAGCCATGGCGCGCAAACCGCACCTATCAGGTAGGAGCTGTGGTGCTGCTCTGGCAGAGGTTCAAAGAAACTGACGGACTGTAGGCAATGTTCGACACGCTGGAGGCAGACATTGTTGTCGTGCAAGAGGCCAAGATCCAGCGCAAGGACCTGCAGGATGACATGGTCTTGATTCCAGGATGGGATGTCTACTTCAGCCTCCCCAAGCATAAGAAGGGTATTTCTTCCCTTCTTTATGTCCTGTTTTGGCTTGGTTTCTGAATCTCTCTCAGGCTATTCTGGAGTTGCCATTTACACTCGTTCTTCCAAGTGCGCTCCCATCCGCGCCGAGGAAGGCATCACCGGCATCCTCTGCCCACCAAACTCCTCCACAACTTTCAGAGACCTTCCAGAAGACCAACAGATCGGAGGTTATCCGAGACCAGGACAGCTTTCCGGCGAAGTTGACGAAGCCACACTTGACTCTGAGGGCCGCTGTGTCATCCTGGAGTTTCCAGCTTTTGTTCTCGTAGGAGTCTACAGCCCAGCAACCCGAGACGAATCACGAGACGAGTTCCGCCATGCTTTCACTGAAGCCATGGACGTCAGAGTACGCAATCTTGTCGCGATGGGAAAGGAGGTGGTTCTTACCGGTGATCTCAACATCATTCGCTCAGAATTGGACACGGCCGGTCTGGTCGAACAATTACGAAAGGAAGAAGTGAGTCTTGATGACTTCTTCTCCAGTCCGTCCCGCCGCTTTCTCAACCAAATAGTATTTGGGGGACGTGTGGTTGGGACAAGAGACGAGGGCCGTGAGGAAGCTGTTCTATGGGACCTCTGCAGGGAATTCCATCCCACCCGTACCGGAATGTACACTTGCTGGGATACTCGGAAAAATTGCAGGCCGGGGAACTTTGGGAGCCGGATTGATTACGTTCTCTGCAGCTCTGGAATCAAGGACTGGTTCATCGACGCCAACATCCAGGAGGGTCTTCTCGGTTCTGACCACTGCCCAGTCTATGCCACCATGGGCGATACTGTCAGTCACAACGGCACGACGGTTCCCATTACCGATGTCATGAACCCCACGGGCATGTTCAAGGACGGCGAACGGCAACGAGAGTGGACCATCAAAGATGCCCTCCCAACTTCGGCAAAGCTGATACCAGAATTTAGCAACCGACGGAGCATCAAGGACATGTTCTTCAAGAAGCCTAGAGCGACGATCAAGCCAACGACAGCAACAGCCATGCCTGGCGGTCAAGACCCACCTCCTCTCACCATTACCATCTCTACGGGCCCTGAGAAAGACTCTTGGGCCCAGGGCGATCTGGCCTCCTCACAGCCATCGAGTCAAGTCACAGCACCCCCAAGCTCAGGCAGCACACTTCTGGCCTCTCCGCAAAAGCCACCAGCGAAACGCCTAGCAGTCGCTTCCCCTGCTAAAAGACCACAGAAGAAGGGAAAGGTCACACTTGCGAAAGAGCCGTCCAAGACTGGTGCGAGTGCCTCCCAGGGCACGCTGAAAAGCTTCTTCAAGCCCAAGACACCCGTTCCCAGCCCAAGCCAGGAGCCAACTGGCACGGACAACACAGCCTCGGCCACAGCAGATATTTCTACAGCTTCAGAGTTGCTACCAGCAGAATTACCCCCTGAAATCCAAAGCCCCAACCAATCTTTGAAAGGGAGCGCCGAAAGCTCTGCCAAGGAAACGCCCCTGACGACCGTCCCAACTGACGACAAGGTCTTTGATCCTATTGAGAACAAAGCCTCCTGGTCTAAGCTCCTTGGCAAGCGCGTCGTCCCAAAGTGTGAGCATGGCGAGGATTGCGTATCGAGGATAACGAAGAAGCCGGGGGTCAATTGTGGTGTGTTCTTCCCCCTCATCCCTTCTCTGCCCACTGCTTGTTCGTTTGTCTCTCTGATGTCTGAACTTTGCCCCCGTCATCGTCGATCATGTCTTTTCTGTGATGAAGCTGACCACGATGTTTGCTGCAACAGGCCGGTCCTTCTTCATGTGCGCCCGTCCCACGGGTCCGTCTGGCAAGAAGGAGGACGGGACGACGGAATTCTGCTGCAAGACCTTCATCTGGAGCAGCGAGTGGAAGCCTAGCTCTTCGGCGTCGTTGTCTGGCTAGTGGTCTCAGAACAGTGGTGTTGATCTGCATTTTGCTACTCGACGGCTACTTGGGGATTTTGGAACGGGGAGTTTGGGCGTTGAATGATAGGAAAAAGGATGATGGGGATGATACATATTAGCATGTGGCATGGCATCTACCATGATCTGGCTATCTTTTGCGTCACGAGCACGTTGCTTTGGCTTGGGGAAGAAGACAGGCAGTGGGAAGAGAGGAGGAGTTGGCAGACTGAAGGGAAGTGCCAAAGAGGCAGTTGGCCTAGAACAAGGGTAATCGAGCTACTTGCTTGATCCAGACGGTATCAGGCGCTGTCCATTTTGCCCGTCTAGCTTAGCCCCAATGACAACTCTTGGTTTGTGCATGCTCGGGTTTCCGACATTGGATATGGCCTGCGAGGAAACGGCAGTTTGACAATGAAGAGTCAGTGTGAGGAGAATAGTTGTTTTCTATGGTGATGATCTGTTCCGAAGTTTTTTTTTTTTTTTTTGGGGGGGGGGGGTGGGATGCAGCGGCTTGATGGCCTCGTTGAGTCTTGATATTTTGTACCACCACCCATCTGGGATCAGGGGTTAGCTTCTTCGTCTATCACTGGCAACACCCACCAAGGTGGAAGTCGTGTGATTTATCTCTGGGTGGTCTCAGGATGGACTGGGGGATCTTGTGTTGATGATGGGCTTCACTCCGCCGCCGTCACTTCGGTCTCTGGGCTCTTCTCTGCTTCGTCATGCCCTCATTGGTGTCTCCATGCGGTACTGGTAAACTCTAACTGTCGAGGACATGGCAAGACAAAACAATTCATTCCCAACCACCAAATGATCTCGACGGCGGACTTCGTGATGATCATCTCTCAATGATGACAAAGACTTTCTCGAGAACAATCACCTCTTCACATCAAGACAAGCGGTTCAAGATCACAAGCACGAAGAACCATCAGAAATCTGGGTATGCACTTGATTGTTGTACAGACAAAAGAAACTAGTTGCGAGCTTTGAACGAACGTCTTCTTTGAACCCCTTGAGCCAGGTCATTCCGTTCGTCAAACTCATCCATCCATGTGCCCAACCTCCACCAGTGATGACCGTCAATACGATCCTCCTCGAGATTATGTACCACTGAGAAAAGAGAATGAAAACAAATAGAAAATAAGTAAAATGAAAGAAACAGCCCACCGTCCCAACACCCAACTCCCCGCTCCGCCCCAACATTGTAAAATGGTATCCATCCGCCAGACTCCTGTTATCCATGCCCAAATCCCAAATCCGAACCATGAAGAAAAGAGAAGTATGAGAAGGGGTATCATCCTCCAAGAACCAAACCTCTTCGCTTGAGAACATCGCCGCCGGTGAAAATGGCAGGGATCGCAGGGTATGCTGATGTGTTGATATGAAACAAGTCATTCAGAGAAAAAGCCGTGCAAATGTCATCATAATTCCATGTTGTTGTACCAGGAAGCAGATTCTTCGTCAGGTAATCGAGTATGTTGTGTTACAAACTGTGTCGCATCCAGTGAAAGCTTTGAAGCTAGAAGAGAGGTCAGCAACCGTGTGTAGAGAGAGAGAGAGGTGATACGACTTACCATTCTGAACCAAGGTCTGGTGCATAGGTCATCGCCCATTGGGCGGCAAACCTTGTGCGAAAGGTCGCAGTGACTGAATAGTGTCAAGAGCTGGTGTTCCGAAAGAGGCCGCGGAAGTGATCAGAATTGACCGAAGATTTGGGCCAAATCCTCCTCCGTTCCAGTGATCCAATCGAAGGCACTGTTGTCAGGCATCGTGGAGGAGGGAGTACCGACAAAGTCATCCTGGGATTCAGACTCTGGAGTAAGAGCACAGTCGACTCCATTGTTTCCAGTGTGTCCATTCAGAACAGCGCGGAAGTCATGAAGAGGAGACCAGCCTTCGCGTATCATAGGAGGCAGGAAGTTCGCCACATCGGGCATGAGCTCAGTAATCTGACCAGAGAAGACATGGGGAGGGTCGATGAGATGGCTGACATCGTTGTCCTTGGTGATCTCCTGGTTAGGGGCAATACTGATGTCAGGAAGGGGCTGCTGTTGCTCCATGGTGGTGACAATAGGATTGCCTACGATAGGGGCACCCGAGTTCTCCCCGATCGGGGAAGCATTGGCGACTTCCTGTGCTCGGTTACGGCGGGGAGCGCGGCGGCGGATCTCAGAAGATCGACGAGGCACATAGCGATAATGAGGGTGAGCCGACATCAGTTTCGCCTTGATCTCACTCGCACGTCTCTGGTACTCGGCGCGAACTTCGGGGGACTCTTTCTTCCACATGCCACCAGTCATGACGGCTGCATGATGTTAGCAGATGAATCATTCACAAGGACAACAAGCAGTAACTTACAAATGTCATTGTTGGGGATGCCAGGGTTAGCCGCCTTAAGCGCAGCCTGCTGATCCTTGCGGTAAAGAATGTAGGCGTTAGGGGGGCGGGGAATCTTGGCCTCGGCAGTGGCCTGAACATGCCTCTTTTTGGGATCCCAAACGGTGGTGCTACCGACTATGGTGATGTTCGACTCCATAAGCCTGCGAGGGCCGAGGATAACAACCTGACCATTGTCGGCATCGCGGGCATACATGGCATCAGCGCCACCCAAGTACGACCTTCAAGAACTGTTAGTCGAAGATGGAGAACAAAAATGAGAATAAAACTTACTTCATTGTATTGAGAACGCCCTTCTTGGTGTGGTCGGGCATGATGCTGAACATCTGAGCGTCAAGGACGATAACCTTGAGTGTGTTCCAGTGACCGAGCTGGATCGAGAAGTGATTCCAGTACTTGGCGGTGAGAACCTCGGTCAAGCCGGGGTTCGCGTCCTCGGGGAGCGACTCCAGGGACGCAAAGTCGAACTGGAATGCACGATTGCCATAACCGAAACTGCCACATTGCTGCTGAACGGTCCTGTCGATGGCAGGGGCAGCGGGGCGAGGGGCGGCACTGATGGTAGAGCCCTGGGGCGTCAATGAGAAGGCTTCAAAATTGAAGGCAGCCATTTTGACGATAGTCGAAGGGTTGGTGGTGAAGTTGAAGTGGTGACAAAGGGAAGTCGAAAAAAAAGGGTGAAGAGGTGAGACAGAGCTCTGGAAGAGAGGTGAAAGAGTTGTGAGAAGAAGAGAAGACTGCTGCTGCAATTGTAGAAGGAAAAAAGTCGCTTGGGTTAAGAGACTTCTTGGGTTGGTGGGTGGTCTCGGATGCTGAGATTGAAGGAGAAAGACAGGCTTCCGAAAATGGTGGCAGCTTGGTGGGAAGCGGAGGGATGGCTCGGAAAGGATGGAATTTATGGAGGGGCCTGAGTGCAAGCTATTTTGCATGGGCAAGTGCAGAAAGGCGGGGCGGACCAATCCCGTCAGTGTATTTCTTTGTTATTCACCTTCACACCATAAATATCCCTTATTCACCCTCGGCCACAATAAGGCACCTGCCCAAAGCTCACCTATCCCAACCACCTCAATTTTGAGCTACTCGGCCCAAACATTGCCTCAGGCTCTTGCTACGACATCATCTCCACCTAGAGAGCAGGTTCATCTGCGCCTTTCCACTGGATACTGAAAGCTGCCAGCATTGGTCCACACAGTTTAAGGCAATAAGGGGTCGAGGATCGTGAGCACTGACCGCTTCCTTTTGGAAACCATGCGACTTAGAAACTATGTTTCACAAGTTTGAGCAAATGCATGGGGTATGTCTTCGAGGGGAGCGAATCCCTGGAAGAGAACACACCCGCATAACAATGGATCCCCTGTATTGGGGTACTCGAGTCTGGCATATAATCCATGGCTCTTATTCTTGAGCAGGAGAGAACATTACTCTAGTAACTCAGCACTGCATCTGTATTTCTACTGTCTTCAAATAAAGCTTGATTAAGCTGCTTAGCTCAACTAATCTGAACCCCTCGACGGTCTGCATGAACGTTTCTGGAAGCCCCTTGACAAAGACAAATGCTAATCTCGACAGAGCGAGCTTTGAGGAGAGATACTTTATATCCTAGCTATCTTCCTTGGTTTATGTTACAGACAGTCTGTTATTGATATCAAGTCAAGTCACTGCAATCCGAGAGGACAAATTCTTGCTGTAAATTCAAAAATGGTGTTTCATAAGCGGACAGAAGGATCCAACAGAAATGGAGAGAACGGTACAACTCTGCACATTTGATGGATTAGGTAGCTCACAAAGCAGAATCGCGCAAATGTGAAGGGCCAACTAACAACCGATATCTCAAGACGAAAAACAGCTTTACTAAGACTAGGAAACATATAGCGGATTGCGCCTCCAATGGATTTTGTGATAGGCTCAAAGCTTAAGTGCCAAAGTGCTCGTTCCACCATGAACTCGTTTTTTCCCAAAGAGTAGTCATGATTTCCAAGGCAGAATCGTCTTAAAATGGCTAGTGACTCCAGTATAGATATGAGATATTCTCGAAGCTTTTCCTGGACACTTTGATGTGAGATCTCTCTACGTGTTGGCAATGATATCAAAAACACGAAGTAGATCCAATACCACTTGAGATCAATCCAAGGTTCGCTAGTCATTTTATAGAAATTGCCTAGGTAAACATTCAAGTCTCCGCCGTCGTAATTCTCGTAGAAACAGGTGAACTATCTATCAATTCTCATCATCATAAAAATCGCCATGGCACACTCGGGACTGTCCAAGAACTGCACTGAATTTATTTCGCAAATCAATTTCCATGTGACTCAAACCTGTTGAATCTCTCAATCGAGAAAGTGGATGCAAAAGCAAAGTACCAAGAGTAAATTTGACCCTTGGCTCTGACAGTAGTGGAACTTGGCATATTGTTTTCTCAATCCAAAAACTAACTACTTGTTCATGCTTGCTTATTGGGTTTCATATTACTACAACTTGAGTTTACCGCGAGGTACCTAGTAAGCAACAGACAAGGGTAACCAAGAATCTTCAGAATAAGACAGCATAATAATAGACGGTGAGGAAAATAAGAAGAGAAACATAGATATTTAACTATTCTCGCTCTTAGTCAAACATCGTTGTCAATATTCAGAGACTGAGCATCAATCTTAATACATTCAGTCACTGCATAATTTATCATCCATGATAGAGATGCTCAAGACTACGGACGAAGATGCGTTGACTTCAAAAGGATTTGTTGATTTGATGAAGACTCTCGAGGATTGTTGATCTAAGAGAGATCGTATGCGCCAAGATTCTCCTCTTAAACCGAGATTACCTGTAGCCGCTGAAAAGATAAAGAGAGGGAGGCGCGGTCGATGCAAACACTGCATGAAACATTTTGTTCTGCCGACGCCCGTTATTCGTGACTTTCAGTTACCCGATCTGGGGAGTGCCAGATCTCCCGTGGGCGTAGATCTGGACCGAGGCCGGGATATTAGCAACAAAGAACACTACGATTGAGACACAGGAACACGGGATAGCTGTGGACAAGGAAAAGGGGAGACTCATGGTTTTTTTTTGTTTCATTGACGAATGAAATCGTCGAATTGGTATTTGAATTTGCTTTTGATTTCTTTCACATAAAGCTGCGAGCAGAGAGAGTCAACTACATCATCTTCCGGGGCTGCCGAGCATCATCACGGCAACGAGTGTTTGTTCTCGACAACCTCAATCTCATGTACATTAATTAGTGTCTCCTTCCCCCTTCCTCCTCTAGATAAACCCATCAAACTTTGGCTCCGACCAAAACAAAAAAAAAAACCCCTATTTCTCGCATAACCGTTGCCAAGTGTGACATGTCGTCGATTTAAGGCTCAATGATCTGCCGCTAATGCAGGTAACCATCGGCCAAGCCCTTCAGCCGCAAAAAAAAAGCCCAGGGTGTGGCTCCCTGGCAAAGCCATATTTTTGGTGTAACGGTTGGTACGTGCGCACCAAACTGTTTTTGGGGTTGGATGGTGAGGGTCTAGGTGGGTTCTGTTTGTTCACGCTGTGATGGGTGGGGCTACTTTTCCCATCAATATTTTTTGGCATTTGTGCTCCGGGGAAGAAACCAGAGGGTTCTGGCTGGTGATGATGGGGGGGAACGACGAGCGCGCGGACCCTCACTGGCTAGGAAAATATGGGGAGGTTGGGGGGGCCAACTGGTGATGAGGTCAAAAAGCAGGTGGCTGGGGAGAGTATTCACCTGGCTTCCATCGCAAGAGCAAAAGTGAGGAAGGAACGAAATAGGCAGAATGGTAATGACCTCAGCTTGCCCAATGTGGGCCATCAAGGTTCACAGGTGGCGAACCAGACGCGACGGCGTCAAGCAGCGACCTCACCTGCTCACGGTGGGTCATCAGCAACTTTTGCTCTGGTCGACCGGGTCTCTGAGCCCCCAGATGAATGGCGAGGTCCTGACGCTCGAGTCCAAAGAGCGAGCGAGTCCTGACCCTCCAGTGACGAGCCCGAAGCCACCATATCGAGTTCCTTCGAGCAACCCTCACCGCTTTTTGGGCCATCGCAGTCAAGGGGGGCGTCAGACAGCCTGCTCCAAAACTCGATCATCACCTCCCCTTCAACCCCAAAACATGACCACTCACAAACAGAAACCAAACATCCCATGTGGCAGACCATCTTCAGCCCAGGTCACAAAGAAACATTCAATCTCACATGTCTCACTGCAGACGCCCACGTTCATCCAACAAGACATCCGACCAGTCAAGTCATGAAGAAGCAAAAATAACAGTCTCTTACAATTTGTCTTTCTCTCCAAATACATACATACATCCGAAGCAAGTTTTCCCCGAGAAAACCACCACCTACCCACCCACCCAACAGACAGGAGCATCATACAACCAAACAGTTACCAAACAATTACCACAAAAAAAAAGAAAAGGAAAAAAATAAATAAAAAAAAACCCAAAAAAAACCAGCTTTCATTCTTTTACCCCTCCCTACCCTGATCTGCCTGCTGCCAAAGAGGGAAAGTGTGTGTGTGTGCTTCGAAACAAAAAGAATACTAAAATGTGACAGCCACCTCCGCTCAAAAACTCTCGGCCCCTTATTCCTTCATCTCAATCCTCCTGATACGAAATCTTCCTCATCTCACCCAACCTGTGCCTGGCCGCAGACAGCGCATTCTCCAGCTGAAGAATCTCGACCTATACAATTCATCACGTTAGCCACCCGCCTCACCACCATGCCCCCCCCCCCCCCCGCGCGCGCCTTTAAAGGGAGGAAAAAAACATACCTGCTGCTCCATCTCCCGAACCTTAAACTCATGGCTCCCCAGCTTGCTATAATCAATCTGCTCATTCTCCATCCCGTTCCTCTCCTTGATGATGGCCTGCACCTGCCTCACCAACGCTCTGCAGGCCGCACCGACAGCCTTGCTCGCCTGCTCGAGGCTCTCCTGGCTCTTGCTCATGAAGCCGGCCTTGACCCTGCTGGCCGCCACCAGCTGCGCCGTCGAGGCGGCCACGTCATTGGAGGCAACAATCAGCTGCTCGGGGGTGTTCCTGTTGGAAATGACACCGTCGGCCGTCTCAATGAGGGTGTTGGTCGAGGTGGCCACCGCCTTGGCAGCAGAGATCAAACCCTCGGTCCAGCGGTTGTTCTTCTTGTAGAAGGCCGTCTTGGAGGAGGAGCCCCTGCCGGCTTGGACGATTTCCTGCTGGGTGGCGGTGGCAGCCTTGATGAGCTGGGCGATGGCGGTGGTGATGGCCATGGCGGCGTCGAGAATAGAGTCGTGGACGCTGAGCTCGTAGGTGGAATACCCGTCGCGAGGCTTGTTCTTGAGCTTCTGGAGGCGAGCCACAGCAGCAGCAATGGCGTCAGCCGCACGGTTGAGTTCCTGGTCGACCATCTCGCCGAGGTCTCCCTTGTTGGCAAGCTTGCCGAAGCCGGGAGCGAAGCCCTCGACGGACTTGTTGAGCCTCTGCAGGTTCATCTGGACTTCGTTGTTGCTGTTGATGACGACGTCTGTCTTCTGAAGGGGGTCCATCCCCTCCAGACGGAAGCTCAACAGGCTGCGGAAGAACTTGACCGTGGAGTGAGCCGACTGCCGGGCACCGTTGGCAAGGGC